TATCCGTATTGAAAATTTTCTGGTTAATTCTCGAGAGCCATGCAAATTGCCTTCGTCGTGAAAGTTCCTCAGTTTGGGGTCCAATGCCGGAAATATTAAAAATGACGTTCCTTTGTTCTCGAGTTAACTAGCATTACACGAAAATTCACCATAGTGATATTCGCGACGAATAAACAACACAAGAACTCCAGCTAAAGCGCACGTAAACACACACAAAGCGTAAACCACAAAGATGGCGCCGGACAATTGCGCATGCTCGTGACGTCACTCGTGTCGTCGACTTAAAACCTCTCCATAACATCAAGTACTCCAAGAACAGTCAAGCGGGCTACTCGAAGCTGGCACAGTCACGTGGGCTAAATTGTTAAACGCAATAGTCTTCTGGTATCCCGTTAACTGAAAAGTACCTGGATTCTCGTAATCCTCAGCGGGTATTCGATGTTAACGCTAGTAAAACTTCCAGGAAGATTGTACGATGATCGGACGTAATTACAATTTAAAAGGCCAGATCTAAAAAAAGTGATGACGTGTTGGAAAATGAACATTTACTAATTATTCCAATGAGGAAACGATAAGTCCGATGAATGAACATGAAATATTGGACATATCAGTTTGAAGACTTGGTGGTTTGAGACATTTCACTCATGAATTCGTAAAGAAAATCAATCTAGAGTATTCTTTAGTGTTTTATGAGAATGTGGTTACATAGTAGTGTGCTATCCTAGGTTGACTACATCGTTATCGTACAGTACAAAAGTTTACTTTCGTCAAGCGATCATATAGAAAAATTCAAAATTTTTTGTTCTCTGATGATCTTTCTTTAAATCATATTTTGAAATTAATAAATTTACCGGCTTGTATTAGAATTATATTAAATCACTCGCATAAGTTCCGGTGAGGTATACAAAACGCAATTTTTAAATTCTATGGACAACGAGATTTACGAAAAACAGATACTGTTAGCCAGCATCAACAATTGGAGTGGATAATTGAGAGGTTGAGGCGCACGTTTTAAACGTGTACGTGTGACGTTCGGCGCCGCTTTCCCGTAAGCCTAAAAGTTTGACAATGGTGTTTGGATAGTCGGTGGAATCACGCTCGACATTCCAAACACCATCGTCAAACTTTTAGGCTTACGGGAAAGCGGCGCCGAACGTCACACGTACACGTTTAAAACGTGCGCCTCAACCTCTCTAATAATACCTGGATTTGACGAATATGACAGGATGATTCGTAAATGGACTTAATTCGAGTCATGAGCTGAAATCACTTACCCCTGATAATAATTGTTTAAAGATTGTGTGTCGTGAATCTAATCATGAAAATATATAAATACGAGAATCGAGTAAATAAATATATCAAAATAAGAATTTCCCGTATAATCCGAATTTTGTGTAATATGTTATCGAAATGTAAAAATATTTCGTACCGGTGTGTGTATATTTGTCCCCTTTCTTTTTGTTTTGAGGTCATTTCAATAAATATATCAAATAATGACTAGATTGAAACTTTTTTCTTTAATCATGTTCGCATTTCGAAGCAGTAACCATTTTCTTGTTCCAGCCTAAGATGTAAAGTTGCTAAATTGCAATTTCATCTTTCACAGGTTTTATTAAACACAGACAGACAGCAGTATATTGTATGAAACAAACTAATCTACAGTACTGTACACTGTCTACGCATTTTGTTAGCAGACAGGGCAAGCAAACAATAGTAACTGGCCTTTATTTTATGTTGTGTTTTCATGTCATACATAAGTGGTGGAAGATTCCCAAATCCTGGAAAGTCAGGGAAATTAGGTATTTCCAAATGAAATATTGTAATCAATTCTTATTTATTGCTACAAGTCGGAAAATTTTGGTAAAATGTGTTGCTGCTTTATTTTCTCACAAAGCTCAGTTCAATATACCATAGTAACCCTATTTCAAATTACCATTCTTGGCTCTTAGTTTTCCTCTTCAAATTGTATGCAGCAACACAAAAGTGTTGAGGATGTCACAAAGATCTGTTTATTTGAATGATTCAACATACACATTTTTATCATGTGATAGTCTCAAGTAGAGGCTAAGGATCTTGCTTTTTGCAAGTGACCACATTCAAGGTACTATCATACATAACTATACTGACAATTCATAATGAGGATTTCCTAAATTCGTCGGCTTGAATGTCAGTAAATGCATGAGGTAATATTAACTCTGAAAAATATATGTTGGTGAGCTGTTGTACAAAGCATTCACTGTTTATGGACAATGGAGCTCCTTATCACACTGCCAAAAAGACCCAGAACTGGCTGGTATCACAAGCTACCTCAGATTAGTCATCCCACATGAATCTCATCAATTATGTCTGGAATCTGCTGGATCATGCAGTGCGGCAACATTCATGAAAACCCAATTCCCATGGAGAACATTTAGATTGTTTACTTGCCAAGTGGACTAACATTCCACGGGGCAAGATAGCATAACTCATTGAATCTGTGTCCAACTGGATTAAGTATCTATTTACTTACAGGGACTATTAAAGTCAGGGAAATAAAAAATTTAAGATTAGGAAAATGTGGTATAATTTTAAGGTCCTAACTTGAAAGTAAAACATTTAAGGCAACTTATTACAAACTATGCTCGTTTTTCTAATTCAGGAAAGGTTACTAATAACTCAACTAAAATATTTTTAGTTACAGCAAGGAAATTACAAATCAAAGAAAATAAATTTTTGGTGGTTTATGGATTACAAAAAAGTATTTTATCCTCAAACTGAATTTTTCAGTATTTATTATTTTTTGGCATGTCTTTATGTATCAAAATTTGTTAACAGCTAGAAATTTTGACAAGTTAAGCAAGAAGAAAAAAAAAAAAAACTGATTAAATGCAAACTACGTCATTTTCTCTAATAGGGTTTATTTAAAATCTATTTCAAATTATTATGTATATATCAATATTTAAATCCTATGTAAATATAGTATAAACATTCTGTGTTTTGCAACATAGTGTTTTGCCACTATGTTGCAAAACACAACATAGTGGCTTGCAAATTTGATATTTCCTTTTTCTGATTTAAGGAAAATATTGTTTGAGAACAAAATGCTACTTAATTTCAAATACATTGAATGATAATTTCATATAATACATAAAGAGGAATATGATGAAGTTTAGTGTTTTAAACTCGTCTATTTAATATTTTTAACTGCATTTTCAGTCACAAATAATACAAACTATCAAAGGACTGATGAGACAATTTCCTAGAGGATTTGATAAAGTAGCAATATTAATTTTCTTAACTGTTGCTAATATGTTAATACAGTAATTCACTTGTATTATGAAAAAAATTAATGGCAGACAATATAAGTTTTCAGAGCAAAGATGTTGGTTTTATAATTTCAATCAAATATAATTAATAATGTAGAATCCATCTGGGCTCTAACTCTGCTTTCATATATTATTAATATTCAGTCATCAGAATCATATCACTGAAACATTATTGAGATTTCATTTTCAGGTGCGATATTATTTCTCACAAAAAAGCAAATTGGCTTAATGTTTGATATTACCAATAATAAAGATAATTTAAATTGACTAAATTTTGTGTAACTATATTTCTTATTAGCCATAAATCTTCAGATTCTGCAACAATAAATGTTCCTTCAGTTACAGTGCAATCATCAATTTTAAGTATAAAACTCATTTAACAAATTTAATAAGACAAAATTTCCATCTATTATAATTCTAAATTCAAAAGAACATTTTCATTTCTAAAAAGCAAACTTTTTAATTTCGTATAGAACTTTTAAATATAGTCAGTTCACAATAAGGTGAACTGTTTTTGCAGGATGAACAGAATATAATAGAGAGGTTACAGCCGAAGTTTTCATCTCTCAAACGTGAATGTTGAACATCGAGCTCCGCTTATAAGATAGAGGCACTCGACATTCATGTTTGAGAGATGAAAACTTCGGCCGCAGCCTCGCTAATGCTTTGATAAGGTAAACTTCTAAATTTGACATTGAGTTTTGAAAAATTTTCAAACTTTGAAATTCACTGTACGGCACACTCTTAATTAAGAGCGAAACTACTGTTAATTGTTTGAAAAAAAAAAATCAAGGCTTTTTGTTCAAATTAAGAATTATTCAATTGATGATATCATTGAATAATTCTGTATGACATTTTGAGTTTATTAGAAGAAAACTGGACCAACTTATCTAAGAAGCAATCGGAATTTTCCAAAACTGCTTTGGATGACTATTAATGATGATGATAATTTACCTTTCTCTAAAGAATTACCATATTTTGAAGAAGGATTTTCATTTGTTAACTGATAGTTTATAGTAGTGATGATCTTATTACTGAATCAGAATGTATTCTGTTATTTAGTTGCATTTGAACCAGTAACTGTGTTATGCATTTATGTTAGTACATGTATAATAAAACTGTTGTTACCTAATCTATTTTTGGATGAAATTGAACTAAAAGTTAATCAATTAGAGGTATAAAGTGTAATTACAGTTTCCGTTAAATAAATTTCTGTTATTCCTCAATAAGGTAAATTATTTGATAAGGTGCTTTTTGTTTAGAACATGTTCACTTTATGAAAAATTGACTACATTCTAGGAATGCTACTTTTTAGCTTATATTAAAATTATATTCGAATAATGAATTTTTTAAAACTAATAGTTATATAGAATTAATATACAAAAATTTATCATTGATTTAAAAAAAAACCTCCAAAACATTGATGTTGACAATTAAAATAAATATTTGTGTTAAATTTGACATGATTTGTATGTTATCATCAGTAATAATTTCTTCTGTATCAAACTTATCTAAACCATTAATATGCAGCATTTAATTTTTTGCAAGAACAAATGTTTTCTGCTAATTTAGTTATCCATCAGCTGTAAGTTTATTCAGTTTTTTGATAAAATTATAAAAAAATTTTAGGTTATCCATTTAATTGAAAAATTAAGTCTAATTAAAATTTCAAACAAGAAAAAAAGACTGACACGATTTGTGTTTTTGTTATTTTTTTTTATTTCAGATTTACAATTGCCAAACTCAAAGTTAAAAAGAAATGTCAAAGTATATGACAGATATAAAGCTATCCAGAGTATATATATTTAAATGGACAATTTTCTTTAATGAAAATAAATGTCAGAGCTTGGCACAACTCCCAGTTTATTTAAAAATCAGACAATTCTAAACCTCAGTACAACATTTTATGAAAACTGACAGAGTTGAGGTATCAAAACAAATATAACTGAATACAAACTTTGTGGCAAAGGCTACACTGTTCTGAATGAATACCTAACAGAATAAATGGAATAAAACTTTTCTTAATACAACTTTTTTGGAAATTTGAGATCATCTTCAGAATACAAATGAAAAATTATTTAAAGAATTAAACAAAATTTTAAGACATTTTTACTATTAAATAAAAGTAACTATAATAATGCAGCTTATTCACTTAAAACTAAGAAATTCAATATTGCAAACTGAAATTTCTGGACTACTATCCTCCCCATCTGTTATATTTTAATGAAGTATGGACAAAGGCAATATATTTGTTATTGGCTGGAATGTATCTAAAGCAGTCAAAAGTCACACATTATATTTTGGACAAATAATTCACATTTTTTTTTTACACAAATTAAAACATTGCAACATGTGATACAACCCTGTTGTTATTGATGTTTAATATGTCATTGGAAACAAAGCAAATACACTTTCATAGCCACAAATAACAAATTGATTGAATGGACAAATGACTGCAATGCAAGAAATGGATAGGAGAGGACCTTGTACAGAATCTTCATTAGAATTTTCTACCAGAATGCTCTCGAACGCTGTAATGAAAAATATATAATTAGATTGGCATGTCAAAGTTTAATACAAAATCCTAAAATATTTAAAGTATATATTTTCAAACTTTAATTTTTACAATAAACAATACTGCATATAAATTTACTAAACAAGGATAAAAGAACAAAGTTAAATGTTTGTCTATGATTACATGCAACTGACAGTGTGTGTGAGATTTTATACAGGCAGATAAACAGAGCAATCATTTATTGCAAGCAACATGAATCTTGTCTTATATGTCTCTACAAGCTTATATGGAACTTGTCTAGACATTTAACTGCCATATCTTGCAATAAAATCAGCAAGTAATTTATTTCAAATTTAAAAACAAATACTTTAATCAGAATGGTTTTTTTTTCATCTGCAGGTTTATATGAAATGTAACTTTTGAAATTCTATGAGAGGATTATAAATTTCTTAATTTATAATTCTCTCATAGAATTTCAAAAGTTATTGATTAATTTCTAAATATTATTTAGCTTTATTATTATTATTATTTTATGAATATAAGAAATATCATTGTTTGATATAATTAATTGAAGATCCAAATATATAATTTTTAATTCATTCTTAAATATTTTGTTAATTTCACAAATCTAAGACTGCATTAAGTCTGATAAGCCAAACTTCCTTAACTTACAGAATGCATTAAGTCTTTGGATGTCAAAGTAGTTTTGCATTTGAGCATATTTCACTAGCTCAAAGTTTTAAGAGCCAGAGACCTTTTCATGTCTAATTTTTTGTTTTATTTTGCACATCATCTCAAGAGGATGGATATCACCACAAAGTTGAAGATTAATATTGTATAGAATTATGCCTCTTCATAATATAAAATTCAAAATTAACTAAATTTTGCATCTAATGAAGGCATGGCCAACATATGGCCCAGATGTGGCCCATGACTAATCTTCCAACATTAGCTACTGAAGTCTGAATAGCTCGATGAAAAATTCTGACACCTAAAAAATAAAAGTCAACAACTCACTGCGCATTTAGAGTTAACCCTCCATTACAAATCTTGTAAGTACAGCGTAGAATGTTGATAAAGCATGATAATGTGAAAAATGTATCTGTAATCTCTATCTACAACTTAGTCTCTACAGGGTGACACCACAATGAGATCTTGCACCACCTCAAAATCTTCCTAGGGCAGCCTCTGGTTTGGCCTGTGAAAAAAGTTCTCTTTCCAATTTGGCACGGGAGCAAAAACTGTTGGCCACCCCTGACCTAATGTATAAATCTTATTCTTAAAAACAAATGAATCAATCAAATCTTAGTGCTTTACATATCATTTCTTAAATTTTAGATTTCAAAAATTTAAAAATGTAATGAACACACATGCAATTTGATAACTTAGAATTATTGGACAATCAAATTTATGAGTGTATTTATCTTCTTATTTGGAATGTATATTCATGCTGTATAAATTTCACTGTAAAGTTTGAATCACTTTTCAGATTTTCATTGCTGATAGTGAATACACTGAATAACTTAACTGATTACTATTTTCATTCCAAAGTAGTTATAAGTGGCAAATAAGAGAAAATTTCCCTTATATACAAAAATAGTCTTGTTTTAATTTTTAATTTAGAAAAGAAAAACTTTATCTAATAATTCGAAATATGCATTTGTGAGAAATTTAGGAAATGAGAAAAATGAGATTAAAAATTTTTAAAAATTATTGAATTACACAAATCTATACTTGCTACTTCAATGATGTTTTGTCAAGTCAGTAAATAATAAAGTTAGTTAACTATTACTATTCTAAACCTATTTTATCAATATGACAATTTTTATAATTTCAATAATTGGAAATGCAAACAAAAAACTATTCTAGTGGAAAATAAAATTAAACTCAATCAGAGAACTAAATTTTCTCATGATATTTTGATAACATTCCAAAAATAACTTTCTTACATTACTAAATATATGACTTTAATCAGAAATTATAAAGTGAACTTAAACAGTCTTTGGGCATTACACAAAAAAAACTTAACCTGTAATGCCTAGATCACAATAGCAATTTTAGTTGACAAAATAGAACACATTTATTTGAATTTACATGATATCATTGGCTACTTTTTAATCTTGAAAACTAAAAAATTATAACATGCTCTATTTTTCAGGAAACAAAACTGCTTTTCAAAGCAGAAATAAGGGAATTCAACTGGCATAAAACACTAAAGATTTGTTTAGATGCTGATCCACGAATGAGGAAGAAATTAAACAATTAGTATCAAAATTTACTGTTTTATCAGTAATAAAAAAATTCTGTAAATTTGCAATTCCTGTTAATCAAAATCTTGTTTTATACGTGTGTAATGTCTGAAGACTGTTCAAGTTAATATAGAATGTATAAAATTTAAAAAGCTGTCACAAAAAATATAATGAATTATTATTAAAATTTCATTTATATTTAACACAGATTCTAGGTTCTGTTTAAAATATTAAAATTTACCAAATTATAATAATAGCCAATTCAAAATATTATATATTAGCTTCTGTAAACAATTTACTAATAACTAAAATTTTCTTAAGCATAAATTAAAAATATATTTCATCACATTCAGGTAAATTTTAAATAATTTTTGTCAGGTAAACTGAATCAAACAAGAGTAAATAACAGTGTTATGAAAACTATATTCTTTTACTTCTCTAGTCTTGTCTTTTTAAATTAAAAATAAAGAAAAGAAAAACATAATGAAAAATACTCATTAACAAATATTATTATGACTACACATGTTGTATGCAACCAAAATGAAGTATTTTTCTTATATCAATGAACATTTTCCCAACTTATTTATATTCATTAACATTGGATGATTGGATCTCTCTCTCTAAACAGTTGTTTAAATTAAAAATGGAAATAAAACATCTGAAACCTAGTTTGATAAATTTATGTTATAAAAATTAAATCAAAGCATTAATAATAAGCAATCAAATATAAACAATTTTTTGACTTGTATCAAATATTAAGTTTGTAAAAATTTGAAGGGGCTAACACACTTTAATTCAGGGACTCAAACTGGAATGAATCTGCATTATTTCACTGAATCAAACTAGTGGGATAAGAATTGATTGTTCTAAACCATTTAAATTAATTTATTGAAACACTTTTAAAGTCACAAAATTAACTACTAAATTCATGTGACAATTATCATTATGAAATGCAGAACTTATGCTTAATCTGACAACACTTTTCATGCTGCAGATGACTGTCATTTTTGAAAACTGTTTAGAAATTTGTATTTACAATTATTACTCTAGTTTACTTTTAGAAGTAAATTAAGAACAATGAAAATGTGTGTAAATCTAGTGTCTAATTGTTTAATCTTTGAAATGCTGATAGAGTAATATTGAATAATTAAAATATCAAGAAACAAAATACTGAAATTCACTTTACTATTTATTTTGGTCTTTCAAACAAAAACAGCATCTCTTTTGACATCACTTACACGCTGAACTTCAAATACTTTTTTATTTACTGAATATCATTAGATCATAGTAATTTATGGCAAGCAAGTGCTTCTTAAGAAGGTCACAGCCAGTAGGTCAACCTATAAATTTGTATTTTATTGTTTTTCTAAAAGATTCATTTGCGATTAAAGTCATTATTTTCAAGTTTAGATTTCTTAACTGAATATCGTTATTAACTGACATTATAACCTAACCCCAAAATCAGATTGCTACCTATTGAGCTAGTTGCAGATTCTTGGCAGATCATATAAAGCAAATTGGAACAAAATAAATTTTTGATGATTTGAGTTCTTGCTTTAATTGAAAAACAATGTGTAAATTAGACTAACAACAATTTTTCTATTGTGAAGGTTTGATTTATATCAACTTCACTGACATACTTCTATAAATTTCAACAAAGAACAGAGCAAGTGCTTTGTTGTTATCATTTAATGTTTCTGTTGACTATCATATTAAAGAAATTTAAAAAATTAATATTTAAAACAATTCAAGCTTCAGTTTCAGCTCAAAGTTTGATTCCAACTAAAGGAGTTTAAAATCTACCTCTTCAATTTCTTTCTTTCTAAAAACATGTACATTATGTAATTTCTCATTTATTGCATGTATTAATAACTCCATAATTATAGCATTTTTATAAAATAAAAATTTTTGAAAACATGAAAGTTGTTTTGCATATATCTTATTCAACACAAACTCTCTTGTACTTTGTGACACTAGTTATATTCATTTATTGAAATATATATTAAAATATTTACTAATTTTAACATTATCAAAAATGATATATATTAGTCAATTTGACTAATAGATATCATTTTAGTTTGTTAGTAGTCATTAGTCTTTGAAATAAAATTAATATTTAATATATTCCAAATTTTGATTATTCCAATATTTTTAAAGCACAGTTCCATATCACATTTAATTCCAACTCCATTTAACAAATTAACAAATAAATGTTAATAAATAAGCTAGTCATTCAGCAAAAATTTTTGGAAAATTTTACTTTGGACTCCTTGTTTGTTTGTTAATGTTTTTTTATTTATTAATTTAAAGTTAAAACTGATTAAAGTACAATTCACTGAAATTTTCATTTAAGATATCTGTTATATTTAAACCAGAAATTTGATTAATAGAATACTTTAATAAGTAGATTAAATGTTAAAGTGTTGTTAAAAACAAACACTGGATTGAAAAGCATGGGAAACACGTTTAGCACCATACCTGACTATTCCACTGTTGAAAGGTTATGTAATTACACTTTAGGACAACGTAGTTTAGAGTAACAGATAAGGAGTTTAACTAACATCTACCTCTTCAAAATGTCTAGAGTTGGACAGTACATTTTATTCCAAGATTCACAGAAACATTTTTTTGAAATAAGTTATAAACATTGTCAAATATTGAGCATGGAAAAGTTGCAATTGAGTTTATATGTCAAGAGCTTATCAACTGAAAGATATTTAGAAAAACTTGTGTTTGAACCAGAAGATGTCAGTCGAGATCCTGATTACAATGATGACATCAAAACAGACACAAATAACAACATAATATTTGAGTTGGATAAACTATGAAAACAGTAATTATTTCAAATGTTGTAGCTATAACCCATATATGCAATCAGTAAATGGTTTTGATAGTTTGGAAAATGTTGAGTAATTAAAGTAGTTCTTTCAATTTTTACCCAACCATCTCCTGTTGCAAGGTAATAAACTCCAGAAAAATAGATATATTTTAAAAATAAACCTCTTGGGATTTAAGGAGGAAATATGGTATATTCATAGTTAGAAAAACTGATATAATTGTTTCTTGTTATTCTTAATTTGTTTAAATTACAGTTAGAATATTCATAATGTACAAATTTCATCTAAATTACAAAAAAATATAAAATTGAAAAACATATGTTTTGAAAAAAACAACATAATATAAAAGTAATAACACTCAAACTTTTAAATAAAATTTAATTTATATTGATATATATGTCAATTCTTAATTTATTAAAAATAAACATTTTATCACATTTAACAGGAAATACACACACATTATTATATTGATTTTATTATTAAATTTTTAATTATTTCAGAAAATAAGCCTTTCCTTGAGATATTTTCAATACATTAACTCTGCAGGAAGTGGTATCATTTAATCTTGTCATTTATGAATTTAACTTTATTTTGAAGTATTTGTTGATTTTCTTGCACACTATCGGAAGATAGAGATTCTTTGTTTCTCATATTCAGAACAACAAAATCACTAGTCTTCCAGACAGGGAACAAGAATTAATAAGGAAACAGTTGTAAAATTTGATGATAATGAAATAAGAATTATCATTTCATGAAATACTTTACAACTAGTATACATTTGACAAAATATGTATACAAGAAACAAAAGGTCTATAAATTACTGCTTTTCCAGTAATATATACTGGAAAACAAAAAAGCTTTTGCTACAATTAAAAATTTAATTATTAAAAGTAAGTGGTATATTTATGTCTTATCCCCATAGTAATTCCAAAGAAATCATGTTTTATTCATTGAACAGCACAAATTCATCCATCATTTTAGAAGTTGTGATATATAGAAGTTTAAGAAACTTTGATAAATTGTTCTCTATAAATTTCATTAAGTTTTAGTTAATTAAAATTAATTAGATATGATAAAAGTTAAAAAAGAAACAATATTTACATTTATTTATAATATCCGATACATTTTTTACATTNTTCTATTAAATTCCTAACTACCTTATTGATAAGAATAAATTCTCTAAAACAGTATGAAATACAAATAGTTGATTTAACTTTTACATGTTAAATCAATTATTTATTAGACAAAATGACTTCCAACTACTTAACACTGTGTTGAATAATAACAATCCACGAAACCTTTTTTTACAAGTGTTATGTCCATAGTAAACTCCACAAACGCTTTCGACCTCCACCGAGGTCTGCTTCAGGTGGTAACTGACTGTGACATAAAGCTAACAGTGGGGGCACCTGCATCAACTTCAAAGATGGTGAAATGATCGCACAGGCGTGGAGGTATTTGTTCAAGGAATTCGAACAGGGACAGTCAAAGGGGTGAAACCCGACACGCACAATTATTTACATCTCTGGCGACATCGTTACGACGGTCAGGAGGAAAGACAGTCAGTCAGACCTGAAGCAGACCTCGGTGGAGGTAGAAAGCGTTTGTGGAGTTTACTATGGACATAATACTTGTAAAAAAAGGTTTCATGGATTGTTACAATTATTTATTGTTTATTTCTTATTGGTTTAGAGAATTCATTCTTATAAGTAATAAGAGTAGATGACGTTAATTATGTAAGTAGAAATTTATTTCCACTTTGATGATAAAACTATCTGAACTATTAATCACATAGCATTATGACTGATCTTAGCAGCAAAATTATTAGAACTATTTTTGAGAGTTCGTTAAATAAAAAACAATGTTTAAAAATAATCAAGAACACCAAAATACATTCTATATTTATATTTAACTCTGCAGAAAAATTCCATAAATAATTTTTAAATTTAAAAATTGAAATATTTCTTCATTATTTTGGTATGTTCTACACATTATCTTTTAGTAATATATATTCATTTATCGATATTCAAATTCCTACATTTGAAAAAATTTTGGTTTTTATTATAATTACTATTTTGATATACCTCTAATAATTATACTGATAATGATTTATACATATTGATCATTTAGAATAATGGTAACAGAATTGATAACTTCAACTCCAACATTACAATGATGTACAACTGCTATCTAAAAATTGAACAAGAAAGTACCACTTATATACACTTATTTGACATATCTTTCTCTCTCAGGAAAGGATGAATATATGGCAATGTATATATGTTAAACCAACCTTTCCACCGATTGTACATCACAGTATGTTCAAATGATCTATCTTGTTAAAAACTTGATGCTTGATCTGACATGCACATTAGTAAGAGACCATGAAAGGGATTGACAGAACCATGAACATAGGATACTCCCTTTGATAAGGTAGGAAGATGGTTATTAATTTAATCCACTCTATCAGTCCATAATAAAAGAGCATAGTCAATTGGAACTTCATAAAGTTTACATTCTCAATTTAAATCCAACATTCAACAAACTGACTAGAAAAAAAAATTCAAAAATTGTTTATAAGTGAAACACCATATTATATAGTCTCTTATGAGATGACAAGGATAAAGTTCCATAGAAACACAAGACTGGTTTACAGGATAATACTCACTAAATTGGAGACAACAACACATGTATGCTTTGCAAACCAAGATGATAATGAAATTTCATGGAATGAGGCTAAATTTATATATATATATATATATATATATACACACACCACTTCTTTATCACATGTACAGTACTTATTGCAGAATGAATGAATGAAAATACTTATGAAAAAAGTTATGGGAGAATGTTTAAATTCTAAGAACTTGGGAAATTTCCATACCAAAGAAAGTGTGTCTTTGGTTCAAAATTTATAATTATTGATGTTAATTTTTCAAATTACTTTGCACACATGATTTCAAAGACTTTACAATATTTCAAACTTCTGAAAAATAACAAATCCTAAAGACAGTCTATGAAGTAGACTGAAAACATTTGAAGTAAAATAAATCCTACTAAATTAGAGTAATTTTCATAGTTTACCTGTAAGAGATTCAGTAATTGTTATATGACAAACAATATTGAAAATCTTAGGATACAAGACAAGCACAATAGAATTTATGGTCAGTAGTTTCAATCACAATTTTTCATCAGTCACAATAGTTTATGGTCAGTTTTTAAGTTTAATTTATTAAATTTATACGTTATGTTTATACACCTTTTACTATGTCATTTCAATATTACAGTATTTCAATATCTGTGATCTTTAGCAGCTATTACAGTATACTGAAGGTTATTTTTTTCACGTGTTTATGATAAAGATATACCAGGGGTATCTTTTCTTTGAGAATGGCTAAATGAGCTATAAAATACAAGCCTGAGGCTAGGTACAAAGATTCTGTCAAAGATTAAAATTTCTTTCTTTCTGAATAACAATGTACAACTATCAATGGAAAATTTGCAACTGCTTTTTCAAAAGAGTATCATCATATCTGAGGATAAATTCTGTGACACTCAAAATAAAAATTTCCTTTAGATACTTGTTGTACAGTGATACATACAAGCAAAACTAGAAAATATTCCAAGTGCAAACTTCTTAAGACTTAAAATTCTCTTCTGATAGAGATTTGCAAATACATTACAAAAACTTATATATAAGAAAGTTTGTTGTTAATATCATTTGCAGTAAGACCTATTAATTCTAGTTACTTTTCAAAAATCATAGAAGTAGAATAAATAGCAATGTTTCTGAAAATTGTTACCTAGCTTGTATATTTTCGAAAGTTTATATGATTTTTAAACTAGTTCAAATGTTGTTGATAAAACATATCAATGAAAACAAGCTAAGTAGGCCAGTATGGGGAGCCATATTTAGCCCAATGACAGGTTGAAGATTCCTGGGCTATATTGAATGATAGGAAAAAAAAATCAAACACAAGTAAAATTTGGCTCATGTAAGGTGTTGTGGAATGGTCCACTTAAGTTAAAATCTGACTATAGTAACAATCATAAAAAAAAAATAAATAAATAAATTATAAAAATTTAAACAGCAAATTTAATTTCATCTTCAATCAGTTATAAACATTTATAACTCAAATAATTAAAAATTATTTAAAAAGTGATTCTGCCAATTTTTTCAATATTTTAGAAAATAATTTGTTTAAAATCATATGTTGTATTCTTTTTTAAAATTCAGACATTTTTCTCAATTAAAGCATTTTAATACTTCAAATTTTCTCTGTTCAGTCAATACAATAGATAAATAATAATGATCAGAAAGCGAGTCCTGTTTAAATATAAATAATTAATAAAAATATCAACAAAATCTCTCTAGTATAATTCAAATATTAACTGAATTATTCTGATTATTCACCCATAAGAATAAATATATTTAAAAACTTTTCTTATAAATTTCTATAGTTTTGCATTATAACATCATATTACCTATTAAAAAAATTTTTTTGACCTAAAAGTTTCCTATTTGGGTTGTTGATTTTACTATTCAGTTTATAAAACTCAGGGCATATACGATTAATTCAACTTTTCATTTTAAAAGAAAGAATTGCATCCAAACAAAATTCACACAAATGGCTTGCTGGCAACAAATCAGAAAAGGAAGAGGGATAATACTTTGTATTTTACTTTTATTGCACAAAGCAATATTTGGAATATTTGTGATAAGGAGTTTAAGGACTCAAACTTATTACCTTTGCTGGAGGAGAAATTGTGCCATTTGCACTTGTTGAGGAGTTCCAGATATTGTGATTACACGATCTGAACTTCCAGGTAATGCTTCATCAATAGTAATTCCTGCTCCAGAATCTCTACGAATTTTTCTTATTCTTTGGCCTCCTTTTCCGATAATAGCACCAGCAAGCTAAAATAAATCATCAATCAATCATAAATTTTAAATAATGGGTCTATCTTTTATTCCAAATTTTTGAATTAAAAAATCCCAAAAACTTAAATCTGAGTCAAGTGGGCATAAACATCCAAACTCTCACTATCAATAAGGGATTTTTTTGGTTTTAAGATCCAAAATCAACATGAATGAATTTCTTGTAGTAATTTGAAAAATTGTATTTAACTGCTACACATTCACTATTAGATTCTAAAAATTTATTGATATGAAAAAAGTAACAAAAAACAAAATTTAAGATATCTGTTATGATTTTTAAAATGTTTATTGATCCATATATTATGCAAAACATGCTTATTATTCCAGGATACAAAATGTGAAGTTTTCCCACCAAGGTGCAGTTATGTCAATTTTTAATCTTCAAAACAGTGATTATGGAGCAAAATAATTTAAAATTTTTAATTTTGACATGATTATTTTGTGATTTATACACAACAGAATTTTTATAAAAAAAAAATTAAATGGTTTTGTTTTTTACACCATAACAAACTTATTGGAAACAAAAACATAGATGATATTAAAAAATCTCTCCATAATTAACCAGTGCAATTTAATAAAATATGGTTAATTTTTTTTCTCATTTATTAATGGTTTTATTTCTGGCCAAATTTACTTGTTCAATTAAATCAGATATATCCACATTTAGAGCAACGAGGACAACAAATATCAGATATTATCCAGCAAGCCATTTAAATGCTTCATCTTGTAAAGTGTAATAACATTCAAAGATGAAATATATAAAATCAAAAATGTAAAATAAATTCAATTTAATTAAGAATAACAAATTGTAATGCTACACTTTAAAATATTTCTAATTTGTAATGATTCTTACAAAACAAGAATGTATTATTATTATTATTTTTTTTTTTTTAAATACAAAAACATGCAAAAGCAAACACACACATTGATCATATTACGAACTTTTTTCTTATAATTCTCAGGAATCACAAAATTTTTAATTTTTAAATTTAATTTGCAGATTATAAATTATATTAAAAATAAATGTTTAAGTTGAATGTCATTAAATTATTATTACAGTAGAGCGTTGTTTATCTGAATCAATTGGGGACTGGGGTTGTTCGGATAACTTATTTTTCGGATAACCAATTATGTACGAAAAAATATATTAATTTATCCCGCGTTGAAATTTTTCTCCGTTGCGTGTCGCTTCGCGTTGAATTTTCGCTGATGTTAAGCCTAACGAAGACTATTGTTTCGTTAAAAATTAATTTTTTATTTTGTACAAACAAAATAAATATATTGAAAAATATAAAAACAATAAAAAATTATACTTCAGAAGTTAATTTAGTATCAAAAACGCAAAATATTTGAGTAGCCGAAGACATAGCCAAAGATTACAGCACCACAGCACTGGCGAAAATTTAAATTTGTCGACTGGAATTCTTTTGGATAGCCGACCTTTGGATAAACGACGCTCTACTGTATTATTATTATTATTATTATTATGACAAGTCCAATTATTTACAGGCATTTTAACTATTACTACTTCTATTACTATAGTTATTATTTTGATTCATTTTTATTTTTAGCAATTGTTAATTTAACAATTGTAAAGTTTAGGCAGTATGTATTAAAATTTATATTCTATCCAACAAAGATGTGTTTGATATTAAATTTTAACAAAAAAATTTTTCTTTTCAAAATTTTTAATTGCATAAATCCTAATTTTAAGCTAGTTTAATTGAAATTTTGGCTCTATTTGAGGCTTATCAAGATATGTATCATTTAATACTACAAAATACTGTTGTATAATAATAGTTTCAGTTTTTCATAATAATATAAATCCACATTCTGAATTCTTGATCAACGTGAAACTTGATCACAATGTGTTTAATTTTCTTTTGCAATATGAAATAAAGGCATATCTATTAATATAAATCTGATAAGAAATATGTTTGCAAAAAACTGATAACACAGTTTTTACTTTCACTTGTGTTGTGATAACTTTATCAAAAAAATTTACTACAGGTAATGGAAATTATCTATAAATTTTCCATTAAATAAACAGTACAGTATAGCATAAGAATGACTAACGTAATTTTGATTTTTTGCCATTCCCACTGTAGTCATTAAACATATAAAAGTTATTTTAAACAAACAAAACACTAATTTAAAAATTAAAAAATAAAAAACTTCAAATTCTATGTAAAGTTGTTTATTACATGGGTTTTCAAAACTATGAAGATGCAACTTGATAACTTATGAGTTTCATTAAATGCATATCACAATAATCTTGAATATTCCAGAACAATGATGAAATGTTCAAGTTTTTTTTTTTTTTGGTAAACAAATGAGCCAGAATACAAGAAAATTTGCATTTACTGATTCAGCAACACCATGAAGAGAAATGGTTCCGATATATTTTGCATACTATAATGAATATATAAGATATATGAATTAGATAAACATTTTAGCAGACAAAAAAAGAACTAAAAAAATTTTTTTAAAAAAGGTAGTCAATTCTTATATTGAACAGTATAACTTTGAATGATGTAAATACAGTCAAACCTTGGGTTTCAAATACCTTGCTTTTTGAACACGTTTGCCCCAGTTGTTGTAAGGGAACTCAGCTGCTGAACAAGCTACTTGGCAAAAGCTGCCACAGTGTAGAGAGAGAGAGAGAGACAGACAGTCAACTCCTCATAGTTCCTGTATTAAAAAAAGTTGATGCCCCAACCAATCAACAGTGAAACTATCAATTTAGAAGTTAGTGATACCAGGATCACCTTGTGTCATTAGACGTCACTACACAAATCATCAATGACATTGTTATTCATATTAGATTTTAATGTGCATTTGGGTAAGATACTACTTCTGTTTATCAGTACTTGTCGCATCTGAATTTGAATCAAATTAATTAATAAAAACCACATTAGTTGACATTTGCATAATATAAATGACATCCATGAATCCAGTTTAAAGGTGCTTAACTAAAATTAAAATACAAAAGCATATTAAAACTATGTAGCCAGTTAATTAAAACTAATAATAATAATAATAATTCTCCCGTGGTCACCACCTGGTCGTGGTGGGAGAGCCCAGTAGTTTTACAGATCCATAGGGCAATGCAGGCTGGAGCACAAGCTCCTGGTAGGGACACCCATGCCAGTAAGGTCTATGGGGAGAAATGAAGCTAAGAGTGACCACACACCCACATTATGTGGAGATAATCATAATGGTAGTAACCAGATCAAAGTGTGATACTGGCTCGGACGTCGCCCGGGTTAACAAGGTCTGCGTTCGTGGGTTAGGCAGAGGCTCACGTTCAAAAAATAGGCCACAGTCTCCCTTGGTTACCGGTGGCGAAAGCAGCGCCGGCTCAAGCATGGCTACTGCAATGCCCTCAACAGATGTGAGGAATCAACTTAGCCTTGGTGTTTCTGTGGCAATTGATCCACAGACCACAAAGGCTGGAAAACCACGCCAACGGATGAAATGGACAACAGAAATGAACGAGTTTATCATCCGCACTTACTACACCATCACAAGACTCGAAACAAACATGACAGCATACAGACAACAACTACACCACATATTCACACAACAATATCCTCACCTCACTGTCAAGAAATACATACATCACACTACAGAAGGCCACAATATTGAATACATGCCATATTGTTAGGAAATTCCTTAATACTGACACTGACACACACATTTAATTTTAGTTTTGTTTTGGTTGCTATGCCTTGACTCTGGTCCGGCATAGTACACAGCCACCGGTTTGAACCGAGTATTACCTACTAAACCCAACATAATAATAATAATAATAATAATTAAAACTCTAGTTTTTACAATGAAACAAACTAAAATTAAAAATAAAATCAAAACAATTGAAACATAATATTTCAGAAAGTGTGAATAAAGTACTTGCTATCTGTCTTGATTGATTTGTTTATATTTCATGCAAGCAGAGAGAGTTGATTCTTTATAGCACTTTTTTTGTAAAGTGATGATTTCGGTTTGCAATGACAGAACATTTTGCTTTTAATATATATTTCATTTGTAGGCATTTTTATGCATGAAATACAGCTAAAAAGGTAAAAAAAGGGGCTTTGTTTGGGGGGTCAAAAATAGATTAATCCATTTTATATTATTTCTTATGGGAAAATTTGTTTCAGTTTGAGAACAACTTTTAGGAACAAATTAAGTTCAAAAACCAAAGTTTGACTGTAATTTCTTTATTCCACTATTATCGTCTTTATTACACCTATGAAATGAAAAAATTTTCAAAATCTTAATCTTAAATAATAAAATTAGTAGACCATTTATCAAAATAAAACCAAATTTGAAAATAAAGGATATGGAATATCATATTTAATTATTCACAGGTTGCAGAAGGCAAGAAAAGAACACATATGATGTGAAATGCTAAAACATTATGTTATCAGTTTTCAATAGTCTATGTTCATATTAAAAAAGTTCTCATATTTTTCTTAAAATTAAATATAATTTGTATTTACTAATTTTTCTAACTAAAAGAACAATTACACTACACTATTACAACAAATTTATGATATGGTCTATAAGTTGAAAATATAAGATTTAAACAGATATAAAATTGATCTTTATACATAAAACAGATTGATTTTATGAATGTTTTAAAAGCATAACTACATTTATATCAAATTATTGTTTCATGTGAAATGCAAAAATTAAGAGTTCTGAACAGCAAACAAGTCCTTGATTAATGATTTTCAAAACATGCATATTTTTAAAATACCAATAAAAAGATTGCTATACAATTCTTTAATATACAAAGATTTAAAATATGCATTTATTTGGCAATTATTAGACTAGATTTGAGGTATAGTGGGGTACATTGACTTACAAGTTTAATTCATTCCATGACCGAACTCTTAACTCAAATTACTCACATGTCAAATCAATTTTCCCCACTGAAATGACATTAATCTGTTCCGGACCCCAAAACACCA